ATGTATGTGTACAGCACCGAACACATAACTTCTTCTATAGCTGGCTTCCTAATCATATTTTGTTTAAGCGCCTATTAAAATTCATTTGCTCTGTCAACAAACACAAGGGGGAAGTATTAAATAAGCACTTGCTGCGCACAGATACAGCTAAATAAAATCTAAATTTACCTAAAAAGAAATAACATTTATATATATATAAAATTAGTTACAGTGTTTCTATCAAGTCACTTAAGTGTATTTTGCATACTATTATGTTGTCTATATTTAACTAAACTCCTCTGCCAATGTTAAATGTGTATATCTTGGGCTGAGGATGACTCTGGTAGAGGGCTTGCCTAGCATAAGCAAGGTCCTGGTTTTGACCTCAGCACTGGCCATAGGGTGTGTAACTTAGGGATTATGTATGTGAAATAATGAATTAGACATTAAAGAATGACAAAAACAAGAAGAGAAGTCTATTAGGTATCAAAGAATAAGGCACCACCATGTCAGGTTTTTCCAAGCGCAGGACCCCAGTATATCTGGTCACATCTCAAAACAATTCTTAACAATTATCTACAAAGATCTACTTAATTCTTAGAAATTCTTTTTTGATGCTAGGTTCAATTTTATACAAGTAATCTTGATTAATATCTCCTAAGAACTAAGCATAAATTCTTCTACATTTGTGTGAAATTGAGCTAGCCTATTGATTTAGTCTTAATTACACATTGATTTTGCTTCCTTACAACAGATGTTCATTAACTTTTTTTAGAAATCTTAAGAAATGCTGAGTAACTAATTTTAGTCTCAATAGTTCCTTGAATTTGAATCTTTCATAATTTAATTTAGTTTTACAAATCACTAAATGACTTTGCATTCACTTTAGGTATACCATTTAATGAATTTTTAAAAATTAAGTATAACCAAAGATACTATGATGTTTGTGTTTTTCCATATCCATGTGAATATTTTGAAATACATTCTTATATTTCTAGTGGACAAAAACATGTGGCATATCATGTATGGCATATGATACTGTGTTTTGAATTATGTGAGCACCGTAGAATGGTGGATAACAGGACTAATTAATGTATGTATTATCTCACATATCTTTTTTTGTTGTGAAAACACTTTAAAGTGTACATTACTAATTCCAGTTAATATGCTGTACAATAGTTTAAAAATAGGAGGAAGCTTATAAAACAATAAAACAGAAAAGCATACCACCAGAAAACACCACACTGAGATTAGTGCACAGGACTCAGTTACCTTGAAAACTAGAAGGACCCATTGCAATGTCATTTTGGTCTCCAGTTGTACTTCCTCCCCTCTTTGAGTCTCAATGAAAATTTTGGAATCTGAGTATAAGATAACCTGAGTGTTGGCAGAATGTACTTAATGAGTAAGAAAGGGGTGGCTCTACTACACCTCTTGCAGAGCAAAAGTGTCAGTGTGTATATGAGAAATAAAAGCCACTAACAATGGACATCGAAATAGCAAACTTCTATGTACAACTTTGGCAGTAGACAATTTGATGTTTGGTGACCTCTCTCTGTATGAAATAAAGCCATTCCTGATGTTCATTCTGGAAGACAAGTATACATCACTATATCAACAATGCCAACTAAATGTTTGGTACCACACTCCAAGGCTGTCTCTTTAAACATGAGTTGGAATTTTAAAAATTCAAGCACAATTACTTTTAATTCGTTTTATTTTAAAAAGTTGTATTATATTTTTACTTACATGTGTCTGTGAGAGTGAATACTCTGCGTGCGCGTGTGCGCGCGTGCGTGTGCGCCCGCTCACAGAGGCCACAAAGGGGTGTCAAATCCTCTGGAGCTGCAGTTACAGGTGGCTGTGAACTCCCTGACTCGGATCCTCTGGAGGAGCAGAAGTGTTCTTAACTCTTGCTTCACCTCTCCAGTCTCTTCATTGTATTTTTAAAGTAGGTATATATTAAATAGCAGGTTTTTTCACAAGTTCAAGGTAGAAAAGGAAAGGAGTGGAGGATTCCAAAATCGAAGAAGGAATTACTGATCATGCTACAAGCTAAAACACTCAGAAGCTAATGGTTTTCCAACAAGAGGGATCACGTTTGGTTGCTTCAAGTATCATGGCAGTATGTGGTACCAAGCATGTTACATTATAAAAGATTGTCCTTCTGGGGAAGCATTTGAATTAATCCAAACAAGTCAGAAAAAGTCAGAGGTGCTGGGAATGTGACTCCTTAAGAGAGAGTGCATTAAAATGCATGATGTTGCTGAGGTCCAGAAATGGGCACAGCAGTAAATATTTATAAGAATACTGTCCCCCCCCCCCCAAGGCAAGCATCTTTTTTTGTATCCTTTGGCAAATGGGTAATATGTTAAATTATACTTTTCCAGCACTTAGTAGCTTTTAGCAAAAAGAAAAAAAAAAAAAAAGGCAAAGAGGAAAAAGAGCTGTTTTGCAGACAAAACAATTTCAGAAATATTTAGCTTACTAATGTCACAAAAATTTTTAATATTTATGTTCATGTCTTTTATTTTAAAAAACACAAAGTAATTTTACTTAAAAAAGAGATGCAATTTTGCAGGAATCGAATAATCTTTCATACATCCCTTTGCAATGTTATTATAATTTGACTACAAAAGCAAGATAGTAAAAACCAATTTTTCTTTAAAAGAAAAATATTTATGATCACTTAATAACAAGTTTTTATTCCTTAAAACTGACAAATATATATGGGGCTAGAAAGATAGCTAGGCGGTTAAGAGCCCTGGCTGTTTTTCCAGAGGTACCAAGTTCAATTCCCAGCACCCATATGGTGGCTCACAAAAACCTATTCTGTCACACAAATAGAACACTCATATACGTACATAAATAAATCTTACAAAAATGTTAACATTCTTCCTAAAATAAGCGTACTAATGTCAATAATTAAAACAAATCCCAACAAAATCATCACACACAAAGGGTTTTAAAGTATATTAAACAAGTCCCAACTTTCTGTCCCAAACAACCAAACTCCCTTTTCCATTTTTTCACATAAGTACCGTCGTTTTCAAAGCACCAAACATGGCAGTCCCCGAGCACCTATGGAAGGGACTGCTCATTACTTCCCAGAATCATCTTCTCTTCCTTTGCTAGGACTCTAACTGCTCCAGATAATACCTCTATTTCCTGCTGTTCTAGGACTGAGAGAGTGGCCACAGTCTCAGGTGGCATACAGGCATATGTGACTTGTAATATGTCCCTTAAAGAGGAGACAGGCTGGCTGAGCCCTTTGCCTTCTTCCTCTTGCCTCTATTTCACTAACAAGATGCAGACATGATGGTTAAGTACAACACTCATCCTAGAAACCATGAGAACAGAAGCTACAAGCTAACAATGGCAAGGGGTAGCTGATGACAGAACCTGGGTAGACAGGACTTGCCATCTTAAACTCACTATCAGAGTGGGGAGATGTATCTAAGTCACTGATGCCTCAAGATGCTGCCTAGTTCAGTCAATCTGAAGTAGTTGAGGAGTGTTAGCACTCTTATTTTATAGAAGACATAGAGACCCACAGATGCGGACAACTTGTCCAGTCGCACAGCTGGCAAGCAACCTTCAAGTATCAAGTTTTTAGTCACTCAGTAATACTGCTTCTTCAGACTAGACCCAAAGAACTCAGAGAGAAACCTGACCAAGAACACGAGGCTTGCAAATGTCAAGACAACACCGGAGGAAGGTCAGAATCTCTGTTCATAGATCAGGTCAGGCCTTAGCTTAATATAATGTGAGAGGCTTGAGTTAACCATAACTGAATTCAATTTGCCTTGATAAGTATGCTGAAAAAAAAAAAAAAAAAAATTCAGGGCAAAGGATCCATTTCCTACTGGGGCCACAACTGCAGAAGGGAAAAGAGAGTAGGCAGGATAAGAAGTCTAGCCAGGGGGCTGGAGAGATGGTTCAGCAGTTAAGAGAGCTTGCTACTCAGCTCACAATCGTCCATAACTCTTTTTCCAAAGGATCTGATGCCCTCTTCTGACCTCCATGGACACCAAACATGCATGTGGCACAGAGACATACACACAAACAAGAAATTCATAAATAAATCTTAAAAAAAAAAAAAAAAAAAAAAAAAAAAGGCCCTCTGAAAATAAAGTCTAGCCAGGGAAGAAAGCATTGAAAGGCAGGCAAATTTTTTCATTCATACACAGAATCATCTCTGGATTAAGTTGAGGAGAAACAACTACAACTGGGAATAACTATGAAACTGATCTCTAAAGCACAATTAAAAAACTTTTTTTTAGGAAACACGAGTAGAATATCTTTAAGCAAAGGAGGGGAGGAAAGGTATGTGTGTCAAGTAAACACAGAACAGTGCTACAGATCTGAGATACAGTAAATTTCGTTCAACATCTCCATTTTGTGGTAGAGGAAGATTACTGAGATAGAGGGATACAATTCTGCATCCTTACAGTATCAAGAATAAAAAAAAAAAAAATCACACTTAATAAAGCACTTTGAATGCTATTTCATAACAGCATACAGAATAAGAGCACTGGAAAAGAGAAACTGATTGTAAAAACACTGAGCTAGTGAGAGCTACAAGACAGAGGCTAATCCTAGAAACATACAGAATGCACAGAGAAAGCTGCATTAAGGGTTGCCACCACAGACCAGCAGGGCACACATTTGTTCCCTAGTAGTCTACACATTATCTCCAGTTTTCCAATCAATAAACTACAGTAAATGATTCAAACCACCAGGCATCTCCTTCCAATAACATATCAACAGAGACATCAGCACAGACACATCTACATCTTAACACATCTAAAATATAAGGACACTCATGCAAAAATCTACACAGGTTCTAAATTATTACTACATAGTGTTTATTTTTATTTGTGTGTGTGAGCCAATTCTCTCCTTCTATCATGTAGGTCCTGGGGACTGAATTCAGATCCTCAAGCTTGACAGAAGATGCATTTATCCATTAAGCCATCTTGCTGGCTCCAGGCATTGTTTTTTGTTTTTGTTGTTATTTTGTTTGTCTGCAGCCAAACTTATCCCTAAGTCCCAGTGCGGGGGACACAGAGCCCATAAGCAGCAGAGCTTGCTGTGGCAGCCATCTGGGCCAGCCCCCACCATAATAGGATGGAAACTGAATTTGACTTGACTGCAACCAGATAGTGTTTTTCAAAACGAAGGCAAAGGAGAGACAAGGAGTGGAGGAGAGAAAGTGGGAAAGGAGGAAAAGAGGGTGAGGGGAAAGGGACAGAGGGTGGAGGCAGAGGGGGTACTAAAAAACAATGGTTGGAATGTGATTAGGACTTTACACAATACACTCAAAGGAATCACCCATTCATCTATGGGTTAGTAGATTCTCTTCTAAGTTACTCCTAAATATATACTAATTAATTATAAAATATAAAACCATTATTATTTTAAAGGCCTTATTTTAAAGCTGCCCAAAAGGCAAGTACCTATGAATCATTTGAAGGCCCAAACAAAAATGCATGTAAAGAGACCATTAGAAACAGAAAGCATCCTAAAATTAGGAAAACTCAGAAATGGAAGACGTGAGCAAAGACCAATAAAAGCTGAGGTATGGCCTCAAACCCAGATACCTTTAGTTTCTAGTTATCTTGAGTTTACTAAAAAAACAAGTCACAATGAAGACTGAACATTGCTGTCATTCTGAAAGGCTGAAAGAACAGCTTTAGTAGCCTAATCCTTACCAATCTTAGAAGACAATGACAGTGCCAACTGACCACACACAGAGCCTCAGTGCCACCTTCCCCCACAGGTGACAGCAGATCACTATGACGATTCCTTGTAATTTAATACAACCCAAAGAAACTAATTTTTTAGACCCATGTTTTAAAAACAGCTACAATAGATACTTATTTAAAATTGTCTTCACAGCCTAAGACTCTTGCTTGTCCAAAAATTCTAGCTCACATCACCATAGGTTATTATTACATATGCAGAAGAATAACATACAGATATAAGGTGATGAATATGAAAATAAAAGAATTTCTGAAAGAAGCTGGAGAAACTGCCACTGACATCTACTCATCATCAGCTCCCACCATGCACTCTGGTAAATACTTGCTAATTCTACCTTCAGTTTAAAGATGGTGAAGCTGAAATTTAGCAAAGAGCAAGCCAATGCAGTCACAGTGACTAAGGCAGTTCTGACTCAGCAGTAGGCTTCAAAGCCCAATCTCCCTATCTATGCAGCTCCCTCCCCTTTCCAAAGCAGAGAGCTGTTTCTCACCCCCACCCCAACTCCATTTCTGAAACAGTACTTATCAGCAATATAATTCAGAGGTAAAGCAGTCTACCTAGTAATTGTTTTTAAGAGCATTAGGAAAAGAATGGCCATGTATGAGTAAAAGACATTTAAGGCATTGCTATCCATTCAGCCAATCCCCAAGTAAGAAATTCTTGACTAAGTTTTTTCCCTGATTTATTGTCTGATGGTCAGTGTTAACTGCCAACTTGACAGCATCCAAACCCATCTGGGAGAAGGGCCCTGGCTGTACGTTCAGAGCACTGTTTCCATCATGCTGAGGTGAGAAGAACTAACTGGCCACTGTGGGTGGCATCACTCCCTGCTGGGGTCCTGACTGTGCAACCGGAGAAAGGCAACAGCAGCAGCAGGCACTGATCACCCTCTGGTTCCTGATTGTGGATTTGATGTGACCAGCCGCTCAGGCTTTTGCTGTCCTGACTTCCTCACCATGATGGTGTATCCACAGTGAACCATTACCTAAAATAAATCCTTTCTTCTTCAAATTGATTTTAAGAGTATTTTGTCACACCAACAGGAAAAGAAACTAAGAAAGCTACTGTGAATAGGCCAATAAATTTCAAGCTGCCACTAGCTAAAATAAATAACTCTTTCCTTATTAGGGCAGCCAGTGAAGAGGGAAGGAGATGTGTGAAGAGAATGGAAGCCACTTTCCCAAGAAATCCTTGCACAATGAATCTTATCATACTTAATGCCTGATTCTTGAAGGGCCTGGAATAAAAAATCAATTTGGGATGAATTTAGAAATAATTATTTCCTAAACAAAGTAATATAATGAGCTCCCTTAGAGCACCCCCCACACCTTTAGTTTTAAATTTTTAAGCTTCAGAAAAATACTGAATAAAAAACACTTATGGGTACCAAACCTGTGCTGGACTAAATTCCACACATTCTATTAGTGATGCAATTTAGATACAATTTCCAGGAAGATGACTACTAATTCAAAGTACAACCACTGTGCCCCACTCCCCAAATTCATAGGCACTAAGACAAGAGGATAATTAGTTGCTGAATTTCCCAGGGTTCTGTATGGTAAAAATGAGAGATTACCCACACACAAACAGAAGAAAAACAGAAAGGAAGAAAGGGAGGGAAAGACGTGGTGGATTATTTCCTTCTTGAATTAGGCTGGCCCTGTGACTGTATGAGGCTAATCAACTGCAGCTGAAGAACCCTACCCACCCGACTGATGATGCCAGATACAGACGCCGGGCTAGACACTAAACACTGAGAGTACTGCAGAGCATGAGGGAGGACCAAGGTGCCCTGCAACACTGAATCCAACCGTAAGGGAGGAAGTCAGAAGCAGCGCCACAGCCAACTCACAGCTGAATGCAGTTGTGTGAACAACTCACTGATATCAGCCCTGCAAAAGACCCACCCAGCCTAGCTCAGGTACCCACACATCCATGGGAACGTTGCATCATTTACTTTAAGCCCAACTTTGGTGGTTTTTTTTTTTTTTTTTAAACCCAACTATAAACTGCTCAAATGGTAATGAGAACTGGTAATGACCCCAAGTGCCTGGTGGAAGCAAGGCAAGTCCTATCTGGAGGAAAGAACTAGGTCTGACATCAGAGATTAGAATTCTCCAATACAGACTCTGAAATAATTATGCTGTGAGAAACACAGTAATAATCAGCTAGGACATCTAGAAACTCTGAAAACACAATAGATGGGATTTAAACGTCAGCGGATATGTTTAATATCTGACTAGACATAAATAAAGAAATCATTCAGTGAACAGGAATATGAAAACATAAATTTTGCAGAGTATATAGCATTAGGGGGGAAAACAAAAAAAAAAGCAAAACAGACATGCAGGACATAACTGAGCGCTTGTTCAAAACACTTGTTCAGTCAGAATTTCAGAGTGAGGAAGAAAAGGAGACAGCAGAGACAAGGGATGTCTGAAAGTGTTCTATGATTGAAGAAAAACAGCAATCTACAGGCATGAAGCTCAATGAATCCTAAGGGGCAACTTAAAGGAGACACACACACACACACACACACACACACACACACACACACACACACACACACACACACACACACACACGGCATTCTATGTCAAGAACCAACCATCCATGTCTTCGAGCTGGTGAAGGACTCTATCCCTCTGGAACCATAAGCCAAAATGAACTCTTCCTTAAGTTGCTTTTGGTCATTGTGTTCTTTCTCAGCAACAGAAGAGTAACCAATACAAGTAAGTGCCAATCACAAAAAAAATACTTTGATTCTACCTATATGAAGTTTCCAGAATGGATAACTATAGTACAGACAGCAGCAGTAGAGGCTGGAGTGGGATTAATGAGTAACTGCTAATAAGACTGTTTTTAATAAGATAAAAATGGTGTAAAATAGAATGTTGTGATAGGTGTACCACACTGTAAATATAATAAAACTAGCAAACTGTTCCCTGTAAAAGAATGAAATGTAAATTACAGTTCAATAAAACTTCACTATAAAAAGTAACATAATGCAAATATATCTTTTCTTTATAAAACCACTAGTGTCAAACTCACTCATAGATAAAGATTGGGATTATGAAGAACTGAGATTTTCAAAACCAGGAAGCTTTCATTCTAGAGCTCATTATCCCTAAATATCACTCTTTGGAACGGCTCCAGGAGAATCCCTGAGGGAGAACCTGAAACTAAAGTGATTACTACAAGGCGATAGAACTCGGATTTGCATCACATAATCCAGACAAGGCAGATATGAAAGAGACAAAACATCAATGACGAGCCATTTATTATTCATGTGTGAAAGTAACAGTGGAATATGAAGTGTATTGCTGGGCATTGGTGGCACACAACTTTAGTTCTAGCACTTGGGAGGCAGAGGCAGGCGGATCTCTGTGAGTTTGAGGTCAGCCTGGTCTACAGAGCTAGTTCAGGACAGGCTCCAAAATAGTACAGAGAAACCCTGTCTTTAAAAAAAAAAAAAAAAAAAAAAGTAATTACCAACTGAAAGGACCTAGGTTATAAATACTTAAAGCTATTATTTCCACTGAAGAGTAACTATGAACAATTATCATAAATGTAAACATTTTTACATAAGTATTTAAAGCAATTTTAGAATCACAAATATCCTAGAGCTAATGAAGTTGAGGTACTGTTCACTGCCTGAACAGAAGCCGAGACAAAATCCTGCAAAACAGACTATCACTAGAATGAGCAAAGACAATAGTTGATTTGTACACTTTGCCCACAAAGGTGAGAAACATTCCTAGTCTAGTACTCTAGATGTATTCTATGTACATCCTAGTACATAGAATATATGTAGTTGTGTAACAGTTAACTTCAAAATGACACTGGGCTGGTCTTTTGTAAGAAAGTGGTAGCCCCAAATCATGATGGAATCAAGTACTGAATGTTAATTCTCTTTTCCCCAAACCTTTACTCCAGTAGAACTTCACAGTGTTTGGAGATGCTGACACCATAGCACCAGCCTCCTAATCCATGAGAAGCAGCAATCTTCCATATTCCCCATTTTCAGGAAATTCGGTCTTTTCATGAGCACCAGTATCATAGGGAGAGGACTCACTCCTGTGTGACTGACCTCTAGCCCTCCATCTCATCCTCCAAGAACCAACCTTCATTCTGGCTTGTTCCAAGGTCCTCACTCTCACCCACCCAGTATACAACAGGCTTTACCTGCTGGTGTGCTAATGGAGATGCTAGGTACTCATGGAAACTTCTTTCATTCATCTAATACAATTCTGCTGGGTTTTTTTTTTTTTTTTGGGGGGGGTTGTTGTTGATTTCCCCTTCTCTTTTGCTTCCACTAAATTCTTTCTTTGCCTACCCATCTTCTACATTCAAGTCCCTGGAAACCAAGTCTCTTCAATACACTTAGTTTT